GCACAGAACACCTGTATCATCAATTGCTCGCCACCTGCTGTAGACGGGCCACCAAGCCGACCGTGGGACTTCTTTTCGGGTTATTTACACAACCTCGAATGGATGGTTGCTGAGATTTGCAGAGGCCATAGCAATTAAGCGCCGAAAGCCCCTGCTCTATCAGCAAAAGGAGGTCTACATCATTCTGGCATTGCCTGGTAACCACGTAAGTGGAAGAGTGAATTGATACTATGTTAGATTATCAACACCTGTGATATATAAACTGATTTGTATTCTGCAGTAAGCACCAGTTGATATGCAGCGAACTGATTCCGGAATTCAGTCGTGCTTGCTTGCAGTGTTGTGTTCTTTGTTCAAGTTTATTTCGGGAAATAATTGCTATAATAATATCCTTAATTTTTAACACGAATTCTTTAGTGTATATGGTTAAAGCATGCATATTGAGAAATTTGCTCGCTAAATTCCAGAACGCAACGGTGTTCAGAAATTGTAGCGCGGTCGTTCAAGGGTGCGCGCGTTGTTGTCAGGTTCCGAGAGACTGTAACCGGTTGTTTGCAGACGCTGAAGAATATGGCAGCGAACCGACAGCAGTGGTGTTCTTGTTGTCTTTCCTTATCAGGCCAGAATACTTGAAAGGGTGTGTACGCACAGTTAGGTTGTGCACTCTGTGTTAACCATAGAGGTTCACTTTCTTTGCCACTCTCCAGTTAGGCCCTAACGCTATCCATCTTGTACTTTCTCACTTACGTTTTATACATCGTGAGTTTGGCACTGATCAATGAATTTTATTTCTGTGTATCTCGCTGTACGATGATGTTGGCGATTATACGAGAGTTTAGACGAATAAATAACTTTGAGTTTGAGTGTCCTGCATAGACTGCTCAACTGCGATATCCTTTTTGCTCACGATGCTTACTTATGTTGTGCTATGCTCATATATATCTGGGCACACCACACCTCTGAGTTAATCCGTTCGCTGGTTTGTTAGTTCGATTGCTTTAATGATCTGAACCACCTTGTCTTTGCTTTATTCCTTTAGTTTAATTCAATAGGATGTTCAATAACCACCCACTTCAAAGCCCTGTGAATTGCGGACATGGTATGCTTTCATATATGTCGTTTTTTCTGGTTTCGCATTAGTCTGTAGTCGTTTAGAGCCTGTTTCTGGTTGTATTACTTGCTACTCGTTACTTATTGCTATTCAAACCGAATTTTAAACAAATATCCGATCGATAGAAGGTACACTTCACCATTAATCTGATTTGGATTACGCTTATCGTTGGCGTTCATCCTAAAACCCATGAAAACCCCACTGATTTTGCATTCGGATGTTGTGTACATTTTGATGATAATCAGTAGTAAGTTGTAAGGCGATATGAACAACTTTTGATAAAGATCGCATTGTCTCGACTTCGTCTGACCAAATTTCCAGCACCTAGCAAAACAGTTGAACGACAGTTGAAATTCCCTTTCCATTATAGGCATACATCAATACATATTGCCGACTTACTAAACCGTCGTAGGTCCCAGTTACAGAACGATAAACAATTGAGAAAATCACGGAACGAGACCGGAAAATACCGAGCGGGTAATGAGAAGGCCATCTCATGTAGGGTACATGGTTAGACCATCAAGCCTGACGATGGTATTGGAGATCAGAGGAGAATAGGTCAGTTGGAGTAGGATTCCACCAAAGTCCGTGTTGTGGAGGAATCGGGGCACTATTGCTCGTCAGATGTGGACGATTTCAATCAGAAAACTACCGTGATATGAAATCGATGAAGCATATCTATCGATAAAGCTGGTCTTTGTAGAATATTTCATTATAAGTAGTATGTGAATGACTGAACAAAATTATATATATATCATGCGAGTAATGGAGGATTTCGATAAATTTCAAATGGGAATTCGTCGTGTATCTAGCAAACGAAGCGTGAACTGAAAAGCTAGGAAGCACTGGACACGACGAATTCCCATTTGTGATCATCAACCATGAAAATTAGTCATATTTTCAATTACAGTTATAGAAAGTTATTTTTCACTGCACTGACGTTAGAGAAACTGATACCGTGAGATAAGCTTCAGTTCCATAAAAAAAACCAAATCTTGATTCTCCATTGGGTAATTCTATTTTGGTATTCACAGGAACGCGTTTTGGATAGACGACTGCGTGAAAAGCAACTCAAAGATCGTGTATATACAATTCGACGAAGTTGGATCAAGGCACGCGATGATCTTTCAGTCCGCATTCGGGCTGCATTGCTTCAGGCCACAGAAATGGCCGAACGGAAACGATTGGGGTTGAAACACAAGTGTACCCAAAAAGAAATACGACCGGTTTTACGGGATCAGGTAGCTAAATTTACTGATGCTAAAATAAATGACGTTGTATGCCAAGGGATTTAACTTGGTCCAGATTTTGAATAAAGAAGCCAAAAACACAGGTTTACACAATGTATCCTGGACCATTTCGCTGCGTCTGTACTCGTGCATACTACAGTCTACGTGATCATTAATAATTGGTCGGTAAATAACAGAATCATGGTCGGAGAAAGATTGCGGTCAAAATTACTCACCAAACACATTTGTTCCCAAGGTAGCACCAGAGTGATAAACCATTCATGCTGTTCACACAGTTTGGGATGGTAAGTGTGGATTCTCGGCCATCTACATCGGCAGAACGGAGAGCCAATTGCGTTATCGAGTAACCGAGCCCATCCCGGTTTGGCTTCAGAAAACAATGAGTGGGAACTTCAGAAGTATGACGTCACCAAGAACGCACAGGAACCTCAGTTCGTCGATCGCACAACATCTGGTCGAAATGAAACACTGTGTCAATCTGCGCGATGCGTTCAGAATCCTCTACAACACAAACAACACCAAGAGTCTGAAATACGCCGAGGCCCTAGCCATTCAAACCTACCATCCCAAACTGTGTACACAGCGTGAATGGTTTATAACACTCTGGCGCTACCTTGGTAACAAATGTGTTTGGTGAGCGATTTTGACCGCAACTTTTCTCCGCCCATAATTCTGTTATTTACTGACCATATATTAATGATCAACTGAACTGTAGTAGCACGTGTACAGATGCATCGAAATGACCCAGGATACATTGTGCAAACCTGTTTTTGGCTTCTTTATTCAAATTTGTTACGGGGAACCTATGCTTCCAATTTGTCTGGATTGTTCTTTTTAATATATTTTTCCATCCCACTACAAAGACAAACCAACATTTAATTTCATCCGCTCTCCGAGCTTGGCAATTTGTTTGCAAACATTTCATCACCAACCGAGGCCACTTCACAAGTACTTCGGCCAGTGATAAAACGTTCGCGGCATATTTGTTTGGACACAAAGTTGTCCCCATTGGTGAGGTAAATTAGTGGCTTCGATGCATTGTTGTGTTGACTGGTTGCCACTTCGACCAGTAAACATGCTGCACAAACAATTTTTGGACACCGATCTCAAACGGTTATTGCTCATTAAATAGATGGGCCGTTGACGTCAGTTGTCATCCATTCTAAATAGCATGCTAATTTGCAAAATCATGAGTTCTCATACTTGTATCTGTGCTGTGAACTGAATGTTACTTTTCTACTAATTTCGGGGCACAGATTGCAGCATACTATCTAATGGATTTATTCCTGATTTTTTCTTTGTAACCATGCGATCATTT